AGGATACACTTTCTCTTTCATATTTACTTCTAGAACTGAAAAAGAAGGTGAAGTTCAATCAATTGGAAATCTTGGTAGAATAGGAAGTCAAGTTGCACATTTAGCTTCCAGATTACCATCACATAAAGCATTTAATATTTACATGGATAATTATTTTACAAGTATCCAGTTATTTAAATTTTTACGTGAAAAGGGGATTGGTGCATGTGGGACCGTTTGTACAAATTCTTCAAGATTCCCCTCTGTTCTTAAAATAAAAAATAAAAAGTTAGATTGGGACACACTCTCTGGCGTTGTTATTGATAATGAAGTATTGGCAATATTGTGGATAGATAATGGTCCTGTTACAATGCTATCCACAATACACAATATTGTTGGTGACGAAAATAAAATAAATAGAAACAGACATTGCCCACATCTAACAAGTACCAATGCAGCCAAAGTAAACAAAGTCTTTGGTAACAGCACAAGAAAGATATTGTCAATCCCCAAAATAATCGATGATTACAATCACCACATAGGTAGTGTGGACATTGCAGACCAGTTGAGGTGTTATTATTCAACGCAACAAAAAGTCAGAAGAACCTGGATGCCTATATTTTTCTGGTTGTTGGATATTGTAATCATCAATTCTTATTTAATATATGAAAAATGGTATAATAATGAAATGACTCATAAAGAATTCAGTTTAAAACTTTCATGGGAATTAATTGAAGAAGGATTAGATAAAAACAATGAAAGAGAAACTCACGGACATACCATACTTGAATCATCTTCATCTTCATCCAGAGCTTCCTACATTAAGCAAAGATCAGAATTATTCACAGAAAGGTTAGTGATTGAAAATAATCATCTTCCAGAATATAGAGAAAATAGAATTGCATGATACTTGAAAATCTATATGTAAGTTCTTTCTTTATATTAAAAAAAAATCATAGCCTAAATTAGCATCATTTTTCTAAATAAAGTTGTTAAATGGAACATGTATTATTACATATCTTACAGTTTTAGGCCTGGTTTCAAATGATGAAATTTTTTACTAATCGCAACTTTCAAAAAATCCAAAAATTAGTTTTTTTTTAAAAATGCGTTTAATTTTAGTATCAATAAAACTTCCACAAAAAATTTTTTTTATTAAAAACGAATGTTTATACATAAATTTCATAATCTTTTCTATTGAAAAATCAAAAAAAAATTGGTATTAGTTAGTGATTTTTTTTGTCTATTGGGGTCTACAATTTTTTGAAAATTGCGTCCAGATTTGGACACAATTTCTGTTTGTTTAAGGGATAGTAAGAGTTTTCGCCTAATGTTTTTGCTGAATTATTTATTACCAATTATAAATAAAAAATATTGCTAAGAATATTGTCTTGAAAGCAATATTAAAAAGTTTTAATAATGATCGGCATATTATAAAATTATCCAATCAATTTCTTTATGGATCAACCAATCACAGATAAAGCCTGCTATGTTATGTTTGTATGATTTTTCCCCTCTATTTTCACCTAAATTTGGAAAACAAATAATTATGTGATATTTTAATTTACATGTTAGACCTGCCCATTCCTTTTAATATTAATAGGTGGGAGGAGGGGGTATGGCAAATATAAATATTGGTATTATATACATAAATTATTTGAGAGGAGCCTATATACATAATAACAGATTGTTTACATTAATAAATATAGTGTACCATCTTTAAGGAATTGTTATGTTATATATCAATCAATCAACAATCTCCTATGCATTGTATCTATCATTCTCTCCTTGTCATTCTTTTCAACTAACAACAACATTAACATGACAACATAGCTAATATTAATCAATAAAGTAGATATTAACATAGGTAGCAACAATAATTTATTTATAATACAAATAATCACATTAGAAACAACAGCAACAACAATATAACAATTAGTTGTTTTTCTTTTTTGACTGGTTTCTACTTGGAGGACTTAAGTGTAGAGTGTAGTCATGTGATTTTTCATAACAACTGAATGAACATTTTCTTATGTCACACATTAATATAATAATAAAATAATTCTAAAACAATCAAGTTTTTAATAAATAATTACATCCTTTTGATTTAGCTTCAACAACCTTTGAGGCCATAAATAATCAAGCTACAAGTTAAGGGTAGAGTGTAGGTAACACGAAATTTACTATGATACAGTAAATAATTTTTTGACTGCAAATCATTAAAAATATTAGTGTAGTCATGCATGATAACATTATTATTATATACATAACAGTAATACAGTCAGCTCTGGATATAGTGAAGCATTTGTTTTTAGAAAAAACAGTACAATTCATTATATAAAAGATCATTGAAATGTCATGTGAAATTAAATTAAATTTTATTGGTTAAAATATATTAGCATTTAAATATTAAAGAATAATTTTTAAATGATATGATTGTATGAAAGAAGTATTTTTAAGTTTATGATAATTATCTAAACCATCTTTCCAATGTGGCTTGCTTTCTTGAATCAATTTCATATCTACCTATTCGATTTTTGATTTCATTGATTGAATTAATGTGCTTTAATTCAAAAACAAGATTTTGAGGTGGATTTTTAACATAAGAAATTATTGTATCTAAAGATTAATACTTCTGCTGTAGTAATTGTTTGTGGAATTCCTTCTTCTTCTTCTTGCTCTGTTTCAAGTGTTGTTGGTCTTACACAGCTAATTATTTCTTCATCAGTAACTTCAGTACCTCCATATTCCAGACTATCATCATTATCAATTGTAATAAATTCTGTTGCATCCAGTTTATCTGAAGTTTCAA